GAAAATGAAAGCACTCTACAGAAGACTGAGGCTTCACAGCTTAACTTAAACATCAAGTTCTGCAAATAGTCCTCAAATAAGATGCAGAAGTTATTTTTCTTGCTTCATGAAGTTTTAAGTGGGAAACATCTAAGAAAGGTTCCTTTTTCCATACAAGTCAGACTCGCCTCTGTTTTAAATCCAAGAGTCACATTTATCCTCCAACAATGGCTTAATAATTCTAAGGAATCTTCACATATATTACAAGAACTCCAGCCTCCTCACCTGCAGGGTCTAAACCTCAGTTTTGAGCTCCTTCAACAAGCATGCCAATTCAGTAATGTCGCTGCTCCCAGTTTTAAAGGCAGGCCATATGTGTGCACAGGAAAAGGAGTTCTTTTATATTCCCCTTCCCTCCATACATACTCTTGCTGTAAGTGAATGTCACAGGGACGGTTTGAGCTCTAAGCACAGGACAATGCTGCAACAGCATCATCCAGCTGTCCTTACAGCTGTATTTCTGGATCCTCTGAGACGAGGAAAGGAGAGGGGAGAGCATCCCATTTTCAGTCCCATGGGGGAGCAGATGAGTAGTCCCAATGTAAATCAGAACACACGAACTTGCGATTCACCAGCTGTAGTCTTGCCTTGCATTAATGCTCAAATGAATCCTTCCTCCTCACCTCCTGACCAACTAGTTGACTGGTGAATCCTATGTGCAAATTTATAACTAAATATAGATGTTATGCTAAATTTGGTAAAGCTCTCCTTACCATGGCGTTACACCACATATTAATAACACTATACAGTAGTATTTCACATCTTTACTTTCTATACCTATCATTAGAAAATGGTTGCTGACATTTATTTTAGGTCATGCACTCAACTGGGTCAAGCTGCACTGAAGGGAAACTAGCATTCTGCAAGAAACTTTGGAAATCAGTTCATTTTAAAGTGTTACTGAATACTAAGTATTAACCTTAACTAGACAGATTGCTTCTGGCTACCACAGGCCAGACTTTCAAAGTTACTGAGATAACTACCAATATTTTTCCAAGAATTAGATGCCCAGTCAGGCTGGGAATAAATGAACACCCTACTAACCAGCTCTCTGCTTCCTTAAGCATCATCTCAATACTTTTGGAAATCTGAACGTATTATCCCATGATGTTTTCTAATCAGTGAATAATTCTTGATGAAAATTTTCCACTTTGCTCTACCTCTTACTTCCTCAACTTTGAAAGAGCTAATCAAAATAAGGAAAACATCAACTGCTAAACTGAAACTTCAGCTTTTCAGAGAAAAGGCTTTTCTGCCTAATATTATCTACCTAAATTTGCATCAACTTCTTGAATTTCTACTCCCTATAGTCAAGAAAATGCTGCTATTTACATTATTTCAAATACAATACAAAAAAAAATGTATAAGCATTAAATAAACCTCAGAAGTCAAAGATACATTGTGTATACTATTTAAGAAACAGTGCCACGTTAAGAAGGTTCACTAACATAGCAACAACTGTAATAGACTACATTGCCAATTTAAAACAAACTACCTAAGTATTTACTCCAAATTCAAAACCCAGTTTTTCTACTCATTGTAGGAGGTAGGTTATGTCTGATTTTTAATTATGCTTTATGTAAATATCCCCAGAGCCTTATGCAATAGGTACAGGCTTAAGTAAGGCAAGCTGGTAGAGGCAGGCAGCCTGCTCTGGAGAAGGAAGCTGAGAGCCAAGTTGACTCCGTAGCCAAGGGGTGGGTGAGCTCCAGTTGCCATTGAAGGCCTTCAAACCCATGAAATACAGAACACAAGCAACTTGCTACATTTATATGCTCACCGCCAAAAGCCACCTACTGAACTGAGCTCCAAGATCCTCTGGTACTTTTGTCAGCACAGCTGGCTTCTCCTACTTGATTTATAACAGATCAGCAAATCACACAATCCCGTCAGCACCAACACTGCCATATTTATCACTTGCTTCAATTCTCTATTTCTACAGCCCAGTTTTCTGCCATGACAGTTTTTGATATGAACCTGCATGCTCTGTGGCCAGAAGCCCTCAACCACCAAGGACCCTATGGACTTCACACACATGCACTATTAATCACCGCGCTGCCAGCATGTCTTCACCTTGACCTACAGGCTTCACAACTAGTACAGAGGATGCCGTTTAATACTCATGCCTTTGACACCACTTGAAGTGCCAGCAAAATTCGCAAGGAGTAGTAGTAACATACTTTAAATCACACAAAAAAATCTCACTCTAAACAAGTTGCAGGCCCTGTCCAAACCCTGATCAAGCTTAGAGGGCAATCAAGCAACGATTTACACCAAGGTCAAAACCACCTCATCTCAGACTGCAACCAGTAGCTAAAGTTTCTCCAAAGCCCAGGAGAACCATGGCTTCCCCCTCTGTTTAACACAGAAATAGCACAAACCCTCCTGGCCTCGTCCTTCCATGCCCAAAGACAAGCTTCAGCTTGCAACTGCTTCTATCTGCATGTGATAATTTTAACTGGTAATTCTAGAAAATATTCTATACAGCTGTGTTTAAATTTCATCTTGCAGACCTGATACAATTCATTTATATGGGATCCACTTCAGTCCCTGGTTTCCCAGCCAGCAGCCTGGTTAAGTGGGCACTGAGCTAGGAAACCAGAAAGCTTTCATTTTTCTCCCGGTTCTGCAAGGCAGAATAAATGCAGCACACTGTCTTCACCTGTAAAATGGGGACAGCACTCCCACTGTAAAGTACCTGAAGATCCAATGAAAGAAATGCAATATATTTTCAAAACAGTTAAGCTAAATACATTTTCAAAAAAGTTATGCTAAAATGTATTGCTTTTTTCATTCTCTAGATAAATACTTCACTCTTCGTCCTGTGCTTCCCTGATGATTTTCTTTTCTACCTAACTTCCTATTTTGACTAATCCAATTATTTTAGCATATTAAACTCAGACTAATACAAGGGTACAAGACCTAAATAACACTGCAGACCCACACAGCAGAGCCTACAGAATATTGTATCATCATTCTTATGACTTCAAAAGTAGAGAAAAAAGTACAGATAAGAAAAGAGTAGAAAAAGGCAGCACAGCAAACGCTCACTTTATTTATTTTAATTCCCCCTTCTAGTTCTCACTGATTCCACTCACTGGTAATAGCTGAAGGCACACACCCAAATCAGTGACTCATGGCACAAGACCACAGTCCAAAGAGTCGCTGGGTTTTCAAAGCAGTGCTGTTCAAGAATTGCAATGTTCCATCCCAGGAGTTTAACTGCCTTTTCTTCGTCCAATAAGAAAAAAAACAAACAAACAACAAAAAATAACACTGACAACAGGTGCTTCTTCAGTTCTCATAGGTACAGAAATAAAAAACAGGAAGAAAAAAATTCACTCTTGGACCTCGCAGCCATACCCTGTAGTCTAGAAAAGTGGCACAGATGTAAGGCACGTCCTTCCCACCCATGCTTCTCCAGGTTGCTCTCCACAACCAGTAACACAAGACAGAAGAACTCCCCAGGCAATTTCAGCTTCAAGATCAGCCCAACTCTTCCACACATGCGTTCTGGAAGCCTCCAAGTGTTTTAATTACAACTTTTTTTTTTAATTATATGTTTTAAATAATAAAGCTTTTCCTAGGTTTTCCAAAAGAGTAATTCTACTTTAAAAGCTCTTTGGGAACCTTTATTTTTTTGACCTCAATGCCAACCTCCCAGACACACTATAATAGGCTGTCTTTCTTAATACTTGCTATTAGTCAAAAGACCAATAGCATGCTTAGTAAACACATTTAGCTGTTCAATCTTTACATCCTTTAAATAATGGGGCGGGTTCAAAAGGGATAAGCTTTCAAAGCAGAACTCTGCTCATCTTGTAAAGAGCCACAAACACTGATACAGCCCACTTCCCATCATTTTCCAGGTTCTGGAAACTACTGCTTTGTATCTTCAAAGATACATTAAAATCTGACATAAAAGACATCCTAGAGAGCGGAAACTCCTAAGTTACTTGCATTCTAGTCTATCTACAGTAGGCCTTCCAGCTCCTCAGAACAGGTATGTACTTGAACACATAATTCCATATCATCATATGTTCAGGATACCAATCACACAAGGAACGTTGACACGCAAGCGCTCATCTGCCTGATTGTTAGATTTTTAGTTTGGTTAAGTGTCCTGCTGTTAACACAATTTTTAACTTAGGTTAGGTGGTCACGAGTAAAGTCTAAGTGTGTGTCTGCATCAGTTTAATCATTTTTATTTGGCTAAGACCTATCAGTTCAGGTTTCAGGAGGGCTGGACGAAAGAGGATCATCAATGGAAAGCAAAAAATTCAGACACAGGAGGATGAACACAGGCTCCCCTCCTTCCATTTCTTCAGAAGAAATGTGGACATATACCAAAGTACCCGCTCCCAGTCCGCAAAGAAAAAATGGTATGTATTGCCTTGACTACCATCCTCTTCCTCCTGCAGAAGTACACAGAAGTCCAAGACATTGGAACACAAGAAGCCTACAAGTGCTAGCCACTTTGCCTGCTTTCCACTATGACTACATAAGGGCTACAATGATGGCTGTGGTCTCAAATCTTCTTTCGAACAGAAGCAACTAAGGAAATAAGATTTACCCTTTGGTGTAGGATGAGTGGGCAGCAGCGACAGATAAAAGCCTTCATTTACCTTCCCTTCCTAGGCTACATAACACTGTATTAGATGCAAGTTTACAGGCCCAACAATGCTCCATTTGGGTTGGGATAAGGCTCCACTCCCTCCCCCACACCCTTCCCTTAAAATTCTCTGTAGGTTTGGAAGATCAAAGGATGACACCTCCATTACCCTCTCCCATTTTGCTGGGTGATAAATATTTCTACTGTGTAAAAATGTCTATGTATATATACACCTTTATATCAGAAATTTAGCAGAGTCTGGGAATCCCATATTCTTCACTCTGAGCCCAGGGCAGCAGCACCGGGGGCCAGAAGTTTACTTTGTTCTCCGCTGGGTGGAGGATCTCACCTCCCCCTCCAAACCTGATTCAAACCGCTCCTCGAGGTCAGCAGGCAGCAGCAGCAGGAGAGACATCTTTCCCCCACCCTCCGCACGCAGTGAGGCAGTGCCGAGCAGAGGGCCCGGCCGCCCCGGCAGGCTGCGGGCGGAGCGCCCAGCC